CTCCGGCCTCAGCCTCCCAAGTAGCTGGGACTACAGGCGCCCGCCACCTCGCCCGGCTAGTTTTTTTTTTGTATTTAATAGAGACGGGGTTTCACCGTGTTTGCCAGGATGGTCTCGATCTCCTGACCTCGTGATCCGCCCGTCTCGGCCTCCCAAAGTGCTGGGATTACAGGCTTGAGCCACCGCGCCCGGCGACCCTGGTTCCTTTCAACTGGTAATGGTATTTACAGATCACCATCAGAGTAGCTAGGGAAGCTCATGTTGTTATGGGTTAGTCATTATTTCCAGGCCGGTCAAAACTAGGACATACGCATATTTCCTAGTTCTATGTATGTAGGTTATTTGCCCTGTAGAGTGACCCATATTCCATATTTTCCCAGTTACAGTCAGATATTGTTGAGCATATTCACTTGTCCCATATATATCTGTTACCCAGGCTGGAGTGTAGTGGTGTGAACACAGCTCACTGTAACCTCAAACTCCTGGGCTCAAATGATCCTCCCACCTCAGCCTCCTGAGTAGCTAGGACTACAGACATCCACCCCCATACCCAGCTAAGTTCTCATTTTATTTTTAATTTTGGTAGAGATGAGGTCTTGCTATGTTGCCCAGGGTGGTCTTGAACTCCTGGGCTTAAGTGATCCTCCTGCCTCAGGCTCCCAAAGTGCTGGGATTATAGCTGTGAGCCACCATGCTCAGCCTCAAACACTTTCCACTTCGTCTCTCTCTTTCATCAGGCCTTTGGCTTTGGATTTTCTTTCTGTAGCTGCTCTTTCTATTCCTTGAATGATTCAACCAGCTCTCCTCTAACACTTCTGCTAGTTGGGTGCATCTCTTTGCAAAGGGAACTCATTTTTTCCTCCGGTGTATATATTTTTAAACTTTTCATTATGGAAAATTTCACATATAAAAAAGCAGAAAAAATAGTACAGTCAACACTGCCACCCCCATCACCCAGATTCAGGAATTTTCAATCATGGTCAATTTTGTTTCTTTAATACCCCATCCACTTTCTTTCTATACTATTTTGAAAATTCCCAGAAATTATGCCATTTCATCCATAGAATATTTCAGCATTATTTTCTAAAAGATAAGGACATCTTAAAATGTAAACCATACCTAAACAACCTTTCTTAAAGCATTATCACACCTAAAATTTTGACTATAATATTTTTTTTGAGACAGGCTCTTGCTCCATTGCCCAGGCTAGAGTACAGTGGTGTGATCTGTGTTTACTACAGCCTCAAACTCTTGGGCTCAAGCATTCCTTCCACCTCAGCCTCCTGCGTAGCTAGGACTACAGGCATGAGCCACCACACCTGACTTATTTTTTATTTTTTGTAGAGATGGAGTCTCACTATATTGCTCAGGGTGGGAATTAATTTTTTGAGGAAAAGAATACATCATTCATTTGTAACTAGTATTTCCAATACAAAATTAGGATTATAAGATTTGTATTTATTTTCTTTTTCTTTTTAAAAACAGCTTTATTGATATATAATTCACATAGCAAACAATTGTTACCTACTATATTTGACTTTATATTTGTATCTCTTTTAAGCTGACATCCTTGTTTCCAGTGACATTAACACAATTACTTTTTTTGCTTGATCCTAACATATACATAGAGAAAATGTATATAATGGTTT